TTACCATATTCAATCATTTATGCCTCAATAGCGAGTCTGCGCGAAAGCTCAGAACAACGTTTGCCGACGAGCGCTTACTCATTCGAAAGTAAAAGTTGAGTAAGACCCCACATTCATCCTAAAAAATCTAGTTCTTATCTTATATACTTTCCTTACCCATCTTTGACGTTCTGCTGCTCAGGGAAGCCGCTGTCTTGATTGTTTCTCGACTTCTGGTATAATTTGACAGATCTTTGTTTTGTGTACGGCGGTAACGAAACAGCTCGAAAATTCATTCATATTACCGCTGAACGTCATCGATCACTCCCTTGAAGGAGTTACACGGTGGCTTTTATGATCGAATGTGAGTAATTGGGCATTTTTATGTAATAATAAATATTTATATAACATGCAATATAGATACTCAGTTGAGACGTGTACTGTTTCATACACTTCACGCACTTTTATTCTTCTTTTATAGCTCCAATAATGTCAAATATTTTCTTGACATTTTTCAACGCATATACTTTTTTTTGCCGAGCTTTCGTCATCACGACCACTTACTTCGAAACACAATAAACCATTTAGAGCACAAAATTCTCACTATATATCTCTATAAAGCCTTCTTAAACTGTGTTGGCTTTTTAAGGTGAAGCAATCGCTTATTCCATACAAAAAACTTACTATTTTCCATTTTTATTGAAATCCACGAAGCAATCTGCCATCAATAGCTGTCAAGGACAAACTAAATGACGCTGGTTGCTCAAATGCTTACAGTTGTATAAACATTAATAGTTGACACTTGAGTATGTGCAGCGTTGCCTTTAAAAAAATACACAGATTTATTATAGCCTACACTACTTTCCGGAAGCGTGATGGTATGGTTTTACTTTCCGGCAATTACGAACCGCAAAAGCAGGCGGTGCTTCCCAACGACCACTTCTTAGGTATAAACATTGAATTTTCCATGGAACACTATTACGATCTTATGCGTTTTCTTCGGTTTATTTAGTTGTCTCGTTATGCCATATACATTTAATTTAAATACATAAAAAATCAATTTATTTGTTTATACACAAATTGTGCGCGCTTCTAATCACGAAAAAAAATTCACATTACAACACACCTTTCAAACAGCTGTTTACAGCTGTCATTGCGCTCATTAACAAACAAACCATTGATTGAAGCATACTTGTAGGCGCATGCTTATACACTGGGATGCCTAACATTCAGTTGTGGTATGAGTCACACCGCTAAGTAAATAAAACCGACGCTACCAAATGTGAATGCGTTCTAACCTTTGATCATTTAAGCAGCCTCCTACTCATACATACATACATATATGCACACAAACCCACCGCCCACACAACGCATCGCACGCAAATTTCAATAAAAAGAGAGAGAGAGAGAGAGAATACAGAGAAAAAAGAAAAAATTATAATTTTGTCAAAGCAAAGCAAAAATGGCGGCAAAAACCAAAGCGAAAGTTGAGTTCAACGCATTTTAAAGTACGCAGTAAGCAGCAAGCAGTGCAATAGGCGCAATAACAACAACAACAACACGAACACCCAGTTGTTTTGACTCGCGGTATGAATATGAAATGCTACATTGCTTTAGCTGTAAATGCCTGAATGCCTAACGCAAGGTATGAATGCAATGTTATAACGGTATTTGCGTACATAAAATGGAAATAAATAAAAGAAAACGCAAAGGAATGAGTTGAAGAAAGTGCTAGAAAGTAAAGAAAGTACAAAAGTAGTAGAAGGCAATGGTGAAGAGTTGCGAAAGAAGGACAGAAGGAAAACTTTCTAGCGGCAAAGTAATAAGCAAAGCACGAAAGAAAAGTGTGAGCAAAATGAAGAAAGTACATATCTATGCATACACGTATGTATAGATATGTATGCATCTATGCATGTAGGTATGCAGAAGTGCATGAGCAGGATATCAAAGGATTATGTGTGCATTTAGTGTACGACTTTGTTATGGAATGCAAACGAACGACAAGTGTAGATACAACAACTACGCTTGGGTAAATGCAAGCATCCGAAGTGCAGTGCAATACAAAAATGCATTACTTTGGTTTCTATGATATGTGGCATGTGACATGCGGCATGCGGCATGCAGCAGGTGCATTGCAATGCAGTTTGTTATTAAGCTTGCACATAAAACACTAACTACTAACGCAACGTTATGTACATATATATAAATAATATATAACTATGTGTGTGTATACATACAGCAGCAGCAACAACAACAACGTTGCATTGAATACCGAAACGCGCGAAAATCCTTTTTGATGCATGCCGCGGCATGCGCTTTGACAAACCAAAAGTGACTGTTGGCGGTGGTTGGAGGCTGTTGGCAGCGACGGTAAAGGAGATTGCTTTGGGTATTTTCTTTATTTTTGTATATTTCCCCCATTTTGTAGGTTGGGGTTGCTCAACAATGCAGCTTGACATATTCTCAAGTGGTTATCATCTGCATACAGAATAATTTTTGCGTTGTAAAGTCGGCAGGAAGCTGCTTGTTTGCTGGGAAAATGCAAGTCACAAATATGAAATCTTCTTGCTGTGGTTTTTTTTTTGTATTTTTGCAATTTTATTTTAATTATTTATTATTACAAACGATGAAAATTTTTCTTAAATTTTATTCGTAAATTCATAATTACGGTAAGGATTTTTTTCCTCTCGCAGCTCTCCATCAGAAGAGCATCTCTCCTGAGTTTATATGCGCAGGACGGCAAGGATATGGATAAAGATTTGGCCCAAAGTAAACTGCTGTATCTCCGACCCATCCCACTTCTTCTTTGCCTGGCAACTAAATCCGGGGTGAACACCTTAACTATCCGAACGAAGGATTACCTGCTCCAGTTGAATATCAAAGTCGATAACCCGCAGTAGCCAAGTACAACCATTCTATAGCTCAGATTTCGAGTCCTGGTTCGACTAATATCCATAAATAGAGGAAAATAATAATTCTAATTGCGGCCGCTTCTCAGCAGGAAATGTCATCGCCGTGGGTATTTCTGCCATAAAATAAAATCTCCACACCATCTCAAAACTCATCAGTCGTTCGAAAAACATCACCTCGTACATCACAAATAGTAGCAGTAGCTCAGCTGTAAGTCGCTTCAGATTTGCAGTGGCTCAATGAAATTCCATAGTCGCTTGCCTACAAAGGTGTGGGGGGAAAGGTAAGGAAGGTAGCTTACGACTTACAAAGCTTATGGGCGATCGTTCATAACCTCCTCTTGCTGCACGGATCCGGATTCAGGGTATTAGCCACCTTGAGTATCATAATAGAAAACTAGCTGCTGTAGCGAGGCTTCTAGGCTTACATTTAAAGAGCAAGTTTCTCTGCTGTGGGAGCAGTATCGGGTTGGATGCTACCACATTGACTGCGAAGGAACTACTGGACTTATTGGCTTTCATTAAACATTATATTAAAGAATAGATGCACGAGGCAAGTTACCCACAGCAGACTTAAACAACATTCACAGAGACTCTGCCGACACCTTCATTAACTCTATCCCTGTGATTGGTGTCATCGGAAAACCCATCACTACTCATAGTAGAAGAAAGACTTGATCTTCCTCGCAAGACCTCGCAAGAAATACTGGTATAATTATGGTCCTACCAACTACTACTAATTCAAACTCGATCTTGGTGTCCTGTATGCACGGCTCTGATCAGTTCTTTTCCTGGTCACCAAAATCCAACTCATCTAGAATCCCTCTTTCTCTGGTTTAAGCCCGTCACAACAGCTTACCGGTAGGCAATCATGAATAAATCGACTAATTTTGCGAATTCAGTCCATATAGGCTCTTGATTGTATCTTAGAACATTACTAAAGATTTTTTCGCGACTTTTTGTTGGCTTTCATTAAAGTTAGCAGGAGTATGCTTATTAATTCCTACTTTGGCAACTACCTCGCGCATTTTGGGAGCAAGGGAAATCCTTGTGCAAGATGCGGAAGCTGACCCGTATGTAATGTGTTGAATCGCTGTTAAAAGCGAGAAGACTTCCGTGGAGCTACTCGGACATATTCGGTTTAAGCAAGGTTAAAAACTAGTTTTAAGTTTTTCCAACCGGTCCAGCGGAAAAATTAAATTAGCTTTCGCTTGAGAGCTTCCAATTTTGACGACTGCCCCTACAAACTTACAAGAACTATGATTTAGTGGTTGTCATCTGTAATGTCGGATTCCTAAATTGGTTTAGTACAACCATGAAGACTGAAGTAAAAGCCAGAAAGGGCCGGAAGAAGGACAGATGAGATTGCACCCGCCACAGTCCGAATTAATGCTAAGCTTTCCATCCACCCAAAAAAAAGGGTTTTTACAAACCGGCCCAGAAGCTCTGTGTGCCGGAATATACTTCTTTCCACAAAGCTGAAGTGGTCGAGTTGATCCAGTTCTGGCGGGCACTCTACAGTATGGAAGATCATCATCATTGAGTAGTTTTCTGTTAAAAAAATACGAGCTTCTCCCATACAGGGTGATTTCATTGATAGAAAAATATCATTCCAAGCACTCTAGAGGGACCTAAGTAGAACCATGCCACCCGCTTTTACGTTTCCGATATTTTATGCCCATGAGCTAAAGAGCATAACAAAAAGCAACAGCCAAGCTCACTCAGCTACGTCAACTCCTTTGATGTTGTTGCTATTGTAGTATCAAAGTGAATGAGAGATTCCGCAGCTCGCAGGAGTGGTGGTTGTTGTTGTTATATTTATTGTTTTTAGAATTTGTCATAACTTAGCTTTGTTTTGATTGCTTTCAAAGCATTTTCTTTGGGCTTACCACCTGCAAAGCGACGCGCCTACACAGCGCGCCGACCTAAACGCTCTTTGCGCACTCTACTCTCCACCCATGGCTTAAGCATCGACGAGAAGTTATCCACTTTGCTGGCACTTAAGCGCCACTCCACCCAAGACTCACACCAAACGCACGCGGCTGTGCTCTTCATTTCTTGCATTTTTTATTTTTTATTTTTTTTTTCTTTGGTTGCCTTTGAGTCTTTTGCTTTAATTGGCTTTTTTCTACGTCGCGTGTACAACAACAACGCAAACAAATCAAACAAAAAAAAAGCAGTGAGCGGTTGCAACAATAATGTATACCAATGTAACCGACAAACCATACTCTTACATATACGCACGAACTAACGGTGTTGCAAGAAAATCGCACTCATTAAACATTTACTTTTGACTTTTGTTGCTTGTCGGCGCCAACTTTTTGATGTTTGTCAAAGTAAGGAAAAGCAAAAACAAAACAAAAAAAAAATAATCTACCGCCAAAGGTTAATGAAAGCAGAACGGCGCAGTGCCCTTGGGGGCTGGAAACATCGAAAATCCCAAAGTGACGTTGGTCGAAAAGGAAGCTCCCAGGCTGTTGAACCGCGAGGCGGTAGACAAAATTTACATAAATTGCAATAATATGAAATTAAATTCTTCAGTTTGGAATAATTTATACTTCCGGCCTTACAGTTAAAGCATGGGAAGACCAGAAGTCACCAAACTCTCATTCATATGCCAACTTCGTGGAATATCGGAGCTGTGACCATTTGTTCGGCCGTGTGTCCATTTTAAATGAGGTATGACCCACATTAGATGCACCCTCTTGCACTACCTTCAAGCAGCCGTAGATTTATGACTAGCCTCTGGTTTTGGTATATAAAATGAGATAAGAAAGAGGGAAGACGAAGGAGAAACCTCTACACGCATAAAAGGTAGCCGCAAACAACACAAAGTACGAGCACTTTTAGATAATCGGAGCCGTATATTCCTCTACCACTAAGGGTAGGATGATCCAAGCACTGCTTCGGTCACTGGCATGGAACTAAGAGTTACTTTCCTTTATTTTTGATACATTCTTATCGCAACTTCTTACCGTGCTCAACTGTCTATTTGTTTCAAATTTTAAATACCTCTACCGCAAAAGCATGATCGCACTCACAAAAAGAAGTATTCCAGTACCCCAGATGGCTATAATCTGAACCAATATGTGCTTAAAATTCGCAGGACTCCAACCGATGTCATCAGCATACCTCTACAATGGCACCATCGGGCCCCGAATACAAAAGTGTAAACTTTTATCAAGCCGACATAACTGCAAGATCAACGACACTTCTCCTACAGAATACTCGAGGTAAAGATTTCCTTTCTTTAATACTGAAATTGTTGTTGGTAGGAACTCAGCTGGAGAGCTTACCATGTGGCAACATGCCTACCATTTGTGACCCTTCCGTAATTCCCTTGGCTCTTGTAAAGCCACCCTACTGGGCCTGGCCAGATTAAAACGTTTGTTCTCATGCTAACGACGTCAAGTATTTTTCAGGCATATAATTGAGATCCTTTTGGAAACGTCCTTTGTAAGAAAAGCCAGTCTAAGATAAGACAAAACTAAATATTTTAGAAAAAGCCATGGGTGAGGTGTTCACACAACTCATTTAACTTCGTTCGAACTTGAATAGAAAATTTCTTAGACATTTGGCCATCTCCTAATAGAAGTCTCGAATTAAGATATCAAGGTACTTCCAAGATTCGAAGAGCGTTGCCGTCCTTTATGATGACTACTTTAAATCGAGCTAGATTGAACCTAAATCAAGTCTAGGTAAGGCCATAGCAGACAGCAGGTGTTAATAAATTGAAGCTTAGTTTAGTTATCTTCTGCGATATATATTAACATTATTGGTCTAGTTAAGACTTGAAGTCATGACCCTTCGTATTACTAACTACACGGCTACACTTAGTAATATTTATGTATTCTACCGTTGTTTAAACTTTCCGTTTGCAGATCGCCTGCCAAATATTTATATGGATTTTTAAAAGAATCGCCTGAAAATTACTGGATATTAATTTTCCACCACACGCACACCTTAGTGTTGTGTCCACTTGAGATTACTACAACTGGCGCTGCCTTTAAAGAGCTACTGTCATAGCTGAGGACCTCCTAAAAGTATGCAGCGTATTTCCAAGAAGGTTTCAAACAATCAATTTACCAATGTTTACCACACCAATTGATACCCTTTCTTCCTCCATTCCAATATAATAGCTTCGGTGAATGCAATAAATCCAGTTTATAACGCACCGAAAACAAAACAAAAACAAAAAGAAAAGCAAATCACCAAGACCGACAGGCATTGATTGCCTACATTCAGCCACAAAATTTAATTTATCTAACATTCACCGTTGTCCTTTACGTTGCGGTTTTTCAATTCACAACACATCACAAGCAAAAGAATTTGCCGCCAGTTGGGTGAGGTAGAGCGTGCACGCTTTCGGTAGATGGCTGAACAAAAGAAAGGGATAACAACAACAATGACACGAGTGTCACAAGCGTGCTGCACTCAATGGTGGCGGTTATGTGGTGGCAATGGCAAATGTTGTTGACGGCGTTGGAAATGGAAATGGTTGGTTGGTAGGTGACACTTACAGCGGTGGTACGGTGTATTGTGGAAGAATGTGAAGAGTTTGTGTGCGAGTGTGGGTGGGCGAGCGGTTGATTGGATAAGAGCACGTACCCTTGTCAAAATTTCGCACGTCGCGCTGATAAAACTTCACGCTGCCACTGCTGCTGTTGCTTGCTATCATTTGTTGTTAGTTGTAAAGTAGTTGCTTTTTGTTTAGAATCATGTTGGCCTCGATATTGCTACGAATTCCATGTATGTGGGAGTGTGTGTGTGCGTGTGTGTGGCACATGTACTCCTGAAGGTGCTCGAAATGAGGGCTTGTTGTTATTTGCTGCTATTTGGACTTGATATCATCTGTGTATGACATTGATAACAACAACAGCAACAACAAACCACAGCTGAAGCATCAGGTACGGTATTAGTGAGTAACAAAACCGCACTTTACTCATAGCGAGGAAATACGTACGCACTCATACTTATACAATAAGTTTATGAAGTGCCGAGTTTGGGATTTCTGTTCTGTTCATTTTCGCACCCGGTCTTAGTTTGCTGTACCGGGGTTACTATATTTATTAGCTGAGCTGTTAAAATTATTCAACAAGCAAAAAAAATATTATAATTAAATTTTATTAAATTAAATTTAATTTTTTTAATTTAATTTAATTTTTTATTTTATTTTACTTTATTTTTTATTTTATTTTAATTTCGTTCTTATTACTTTATTCATTATAATTTCTTTTAGTTTCCGTTATTTTTTATTTCATTTAATTTAAATAAACTTAATATAACTTCATTTAGTTTTTTATTGTATTTTTTTATTTTGATTTATTTTTTTAATTACTTTTATTTAAAATTAATTTATTTTATTCAATTTCAATTAAGATTATTTTATTTTATTTTTGTTAAGCTATTTAATTAAATTTTATATATTAAAACTATTTTATCTTATTCACTCTATTATTACATTATCTTATTTCACTTTATTTTTATTTAATATGTTTTTTTTCTACTTTTTTATATAATTTTATTTAAATTAATTTTATTTGATTTTCATTGGTTGTTTTTTTAATTTATTTAGTGTTTCCTTTTTTTTAATTTTATTCATTTAAATTAATTTTATTTTTATTCATTTTATTTGTTTTTTTATTGTATTTAGTTTAAATTTATTTAATTTTATCTTATTTTATGACATTTTATTAAAATTTTTATTTTTATTTCATTTTTTTATTTGATTTTATTTAATTTTAAGTTATTTTATTTGATTTTATTTTATTTGTTTTTATTTGATTTTATTTTATTTTATTTTATTTTATTATATTTTGTTTTATTTTATTTTATTTTATTTTATTTTATTTTATTTTTTTTTTTATTTTATTTTTTTTTATTTTATTTTATTTTATTTTATTTTATTTTATTTGATTGTATTTTAAATCTTTTAATTCTCCTTTTAATTTATTTCTCTTTTTGTTCGGTCTCAACTTTCAACATCTTTGGAATGAATTAATCTTATGTACGGCTCCGCCTGTATATAGTTCTTCCCTAAAAGCTTCATTACGTGCCCTATTGTAGCTGAGCAGCTGTTTCTTCCTTGAGTGCGTACATATGTATGTGTATATATACATACCCCTACCATACCATCCGACTTTACCATATCTAATTCAAATATCTAAAGCAACTGTTATCCGTAACCCCAAACCACAAAGCTGCTGACAATATTTCTACTCAGCCAGGCAAGGCAAGCGGCGATCCCGCGAAGTACATTACAGTAGGGTTTCCTACTGATGCTTGTGTGTGTATGCGTATGTGAGTGTGTATTGTTTTCATAATCTAATACACGAAATACACTTTGCAACACACGGTGTGGGAATAGCAGTGTCATTTGTAAGAGGTGTATTAGCTGTTTGGGAATCACTTAACTTCACATATACAACGATGGTACATATACATATGTATACTATATCGAAATACACTCAGCTTACCAACGTGTAAATGTATAGAGCTCGTTGGTGGAACATCGCTATGCGGGTTTATATGTTTGACTTCGTAAGCAACAGTTACTTAGAAGCATATCAATTCATGGAGCGCACCTCAGTGCATATAATAAAGACGTCCTTACGTGTTATTATTCTCGTCGAAAGCTTACTTTTTGGTGAATTTACAAGTGTGCTACGTGAGCTTCTGTCAACAAATTGAAAGTAAATTTGTTAATAACGGCATAACAAATAGTTTTTTTTAAGTAAGTTAGCTCTTTATGAGCTCAAGTGCGATGGAAGCTCTCTGAAACTCACAATCGATATACACTAATCGTCCTGGGCTTTATAAAGGATCAGGAGGTTTACTTGTTTAACGTAAGTATTCAGTAAGTTCAGCCGGAAGAGGATCTAATTAACACGTCATTTTCTAAGGATATGCTACTGAATTTTACCCATTATACTTCTTTTTCTACCAGGTTCTGAAGATATCTGAACCTTTGGCGGCAGGCTTGGTTATATCGAAGACCGCGTAGAACACATTAAGACGTATGATCGGGCATGACGGCGACCCATAGGACGCTTATATGCGATTTTGGAATTTTTTAAATGTCGTCATCTGTTATGATATATACGAAAACTCCTTGGTTTGCGTCCTCGGTTGCCGAGACATGTACTGTAAACGAGTTGGATAGATGGGGAGCGGTCTCATAAGTACGTTTAGTCCCGCATACGACAAGGGAATATTCCTGTAAACTACCTGCGTAGTTTGGTGGCGGAAGGAAACTATGTACAAAGCAAAATACCCTTTCTGGGCTTTGATGGAAGAGAAGAGAACAAAGAGTCTACTTCTACTACAATTGACTTCTATTTATATCACAATGGAAGTTTTGGCCAAAAACTGTCACATTGAAACACATTCCGCAGCTAAAGGAACTCAAAGGAGGAGCAGTCAGTAGAGCACTTCTTCTGCCTTTGGCTAGTCAATTGTGTGTACCGATATAGTTTCATCGCTTCCTTTGCTTCTAAGAGTATGAAATTCGGTGTAATGCTTATATATCTGCAAATAAACATATTGTCCTCAAATTACCGAAATCGGATTACTATATCTCATGGCGCCCATACAAACGATTTGTTCTGATATGATGTTTTGGAACAAAGCCTTGTTAAAAAACCAACAAAGAGTATGAGTGTGTAGAGTTTTTGTGTCCATATTTGTAATCCATACACGCGATTTGTTCGGATCTGAGGTTTTGGGTAAAAAATTTGCCAAAAAAGTGTATATGTATGTACAACCATATCATTTTATATTCTCTACGCTCAGAGATTCAAATTAATAAGCACTTAGAGTGTTCTCCAAAACATGTTTTGTATGTTTCATTATATTTATTAGGTCCTTAAAAGATATGAAGAAGTAGGCATAACCGAAGACAGTTCTTTTTCTTGTTTTAATTCAAAAATTTAATTTAACTCTTAAACGTCAAAGGTGTTCCCAGAAAAAGAGAATATTACAAAGGAATTTTTATTTTTTTTTTTTGGTTTTACAAGAATTTTTCACATTCATCAGAATTAAATAAAAAAATCCAAAAACCAACCTTTTCACAATTAATTACTTTTTCAACTGCCATTACTTTTTTGAGAATTTCTACTATAATATTGAAAAAAAAATTTAGTATTTTCTAACTTCCACAAAAACTCAACACATTCACCGCATTGTTTAACCAAAACACACACACACACACACATCTTTAAAAGATGAACAGTAGACGAGCTGAAATTCTGGTCTTGAGCCAAAGGTAACACTTAACGAATTCAATAGTTTGTGGAGCAGAGATAATATCGAAATATATATACACATAGTATATATACAAATATATACGCATACGCATACATAAAGAATATGTTTGCAACATTTATTGTTATTTATCTCGCTATGGAATAGCAACTTGACTGCCAGACACTCGGAGTTTGCAAGTCAAAGATTACATTTTCATTTACTTTGCACTTTGATGGCAATAAAATAAATATGTACATACATATGTGTATGTACGACTGCATATGGGAAAACCTTAGTAAAGTATTCAATCATAAAACTTTCATACAAATATTGACATATACATATGTACATACATATGTGTGTGTTTGTTTGTATGTATGATAGGTATATTTGCTTAATCGCATACAGGTGCAACGAATGTTTGTAGACGATAGATAACTCTATACAACAACAATAGTTTCATTATTTGAAAGAGTTTCAGCAAACTTCAACTTTAACCTTTAAGCACTCTTCTTTGTGCCAAAACCATTTGAGAGCTCGTGTAACTTTGACACCTACAGTGCGGTTAGCTTTCGATGTTGTGGCATTTCTTTTCATTTCATTGGTGTAGTGTCCTTTCAAGTGCACACCATATGGGCAGCCGGTCAATACATGAATAGTGAGAGTGACAGCGAGGGAGGGCAGATGGAGTGTGTGTGCTTGCATGTGTGAGTGTGTGTTGTGTGTTGTGTGTGTATGTTGAAGCAGTCAAACCCTCGAGCTGTGGCCAAACTAACGATAAACACTTGAAACTTTATTAAATTCGTTGTATTTACTTAGGATCAGATTGTGTGGTGGCCACAGGTAGAGATAAGTTGCTTGACGCAAGCATAGGTAAATAATCAAACACATGTACGTGCATACATATAAACGCACGCATACATATAAATAAACACCTTTCGTATACCTGAGCAACTGATTTCGAAATAAAATAATTTTTTAGCGCAATTTTTGCATTCGCATGCTAGACAATTTATTCATAGAAAATATATTTTATGTAACATACATACGTACATATGTATATGTGAAGTATTATACACGCTTTATACAATCATTTATATTTTTTGATTGATATTTTAATTGATTATGCTTCAAATTCCTATTTTTGCGAGGCCAAATTAACTAATGAATGTATTATTTAGCTACATACATATATATGGATCATTCAAATCGTATTATTCTTCGTATTCGCATTTGTGTTCGTATCTGTAATGGCATCGTATTTGTATGTACATTCGGGTTCGTATTCGTTTTCGTCATCGTATTATTATGAGTATTCGTATTCTCGTGTGCTTGTATTTGTATTCGTATTCGTATTCGGATTGGTATTCGTTTTGGGTCTAGTATTCGTAATTATAATCGTATTCGTCTTTGTATTTGTACTTTTATCCGTACTTGCATTCCTATTCGGGCTCGTCTTCGAATTAGTATCCGTTTTCGTCTTCATATGAGCATTCGTATTCATATTTGCATTCGTATTCGGGTTGGTATTTGTATTCTTATGTATATTTTTCTTCGTATTCGTGTTCGTATACGAATTATTATGCTTATTTTTGTTCGTAATTGCTTTCACAATCATATTCTTATGATCATTTGTATTCGTATTCAGTCTGGAGTCAGTAAATGTGGAACTTGTTGTTCTTCTCTGAGCAAAATCCCAGCAGAGATGAGGGTACCAAGGGCGTACAATAATGACGCCAGATTTCTTAGGCTGATCAACAGAGGAACTCGACAGGAGGCGCTCCAGCGACCAAATATAGTAAAAATGCAAAAGCAAAGTCTCTAAGCTCTTTTAATTCTCCATAGCTACAATGGTGAAGGGCAAGTTCTTGGTTGCATTGGTAACGTGCTGGAGAAAACTCTTAGTGTCGCGCAGCTGTACAGCGAAGGCCGGTGGGATGGGTGCAGAAATCTATTACGTTGAGTTAGACTTTGGGCGACATTACAGGCTGCAGGAAAACTGCAGAGCTTTTACGTCCTCATACAACCTTTCATGTCGTCGGAATATTACAATAATCTCTCAGAGAAGTTCTACAGGCCTCAAGATTGGTAGGGTAGGGTAACATATAAGGCTGAGACATTAGAGCAACTTCCTTGTTTCTACCTGGTCTTATCAAAAATATATTGCCAGCTTTAAGGTCCTCGAAATTCAGCAAGTAGAACAAGTTTCTGGAAAGAGGTCCCGCAATGACTTAAATAACGAGACTTATGAGCACTACCTTATAAAATTTTGATAACAATGAAATCGTAAATAATTTAATAATAAATTTTTGTTTAAATAAGAGTCTTAAATCTTTCTATTTTTTTAGCTAAGCTGTTGGCACCATGATTCACTTCATGAGTAAAGTTCTGAAAAGCTTCGTCCTTGAGTCCCTTCCTGGTCTACTTAAGAGCAGATAAGTGCTGCTCAGCACATAAACTCCTTGACCTATTCGATACTATATTATATGAGATCATAGAGCTTCCTTTTCTGTTGTTGCTTCTGCCGTTCAATAACCTCTTTCGCTCCTCCACTCTGACATCCTTGGTAGAAACTAGTCCCCGTATTAGATGATGGCCGTATAATGAGAAGAAGGTCTTTATTACCTTCTACTAAATATTCTGTTTGATATCAGTCTATACTCGAAGCAACTACCCTTTATAGAGTCCGAAATTGGAACGTAGGAACATAAGAACTAAAAGGACCGGGTTAAGTTTAATGAATTTCATAGAGTTTAAGTTCAGGCGCCACTGCGGAATATGTGTGGAACACGGAAGGTCTCTGGAATGTCGATATATACTTCATAAATATCCGTTCCCTTTTTTACTTCTCTTACTTGCAGTCACGTGACGCAAGTGCCTGTCCCTTTGAGATAAGAAAAGAAATCCCGAGGAACCTATTTTTGAGCATTTTATATTTTTCATTTTATTAGTTTAAAAATTATTACTAATAAATTAGTTCGGCTTGCAAGTATTGGAAGTCTAAATTTAACATTTCAACGGAAAACTGAACACAATCACAAAAAATTTTCATCCTCACTTTTACAATCTTCTTCCTGCAGAGCAACAGCCAAATTCGCAAAAGGACCAATATTAGCAGCAAAAGCCATGAGGGCGGGTATATTTGTCTGTTCATAATTGCCAGTGAAGTAGTGAGCATATGGACCCGAAGCAAAGACGCCTACATCATCACCACCATGAGTCTCGGACTTCAGGGGAACGGTGGCCATATATTTATATTTAGGATCAGTGAAGTCAGCATCACTCAGATCACGACGGCCCGTTTTTTTGGAGAATGTCTTCGAGTAGCCCGGACCATTGGCGTAGGAGAGTATGGTGTAAGGTAAACCATCGTCGGCGAGTACCGGAGCCAATCCGAAGACATCAGCGTCACGTGACTGCAGGTAAGAGAGGTAAAAAGAAAAGATATTTATGAAGCATAAAAGTAAAAGAAATGAAAGAAAAAAACCTGAAAGTAAGAAAATAAGATAATTAAAAATAAAAAAACCTACCGGATAACCATTCATTGTCATGGTGTGCGAATGATCTGCTGTGACAACAATCAACGTATCCTCCTCATTTGTTAGCTCGCGCGCCAATTCCACGGCACGCGCAAACTCCGCCGTTTCTTCGAGTGCGAGATGCGCACGATTCGAATGATGGCCCATGTCGATTTTAGCACCCTCAACAAACAGGAAATAACCCTGCTCACTCTTACTCAGCAGTTCTATAGCGGCTTCGGTCATTTCACTTAACGAGGGCACGCTATCGCTCAAACCTTCACGCTCCAACTCACCATGGTAGGGACAATGTTTTGAGCTAAAGAGTCCCAGCAAATATTCAGTCTCATTCAGATCGACATTCCAGAGACCTTCCTTGTTCCACACATATTCTGCACCTGCGCCTTGTTTGAGCTTATCGGCTAACCATTCGGCGGTCAAATTGCGTCCATCTGTACGCTTACCCTCAATACCCTCTTCATCAACGTCACTTGCATCAATGAAATTCCGACGACCACCGCCCATAATTACTCGTAAGCCCTTACCCACCGGCCATTCGACAAGCTGGCGTGCAATATCCACATTTACATCAGCACTACATCCATCATTTATGATCTCTGCATCATTTTCCCACGCACGTTGCGAGGTATGAGCATAAACCCCAGCGGGTGAAGCATGCGTTACCGTTGCAGTCGTTACTAGACCCGCCCATTTGCCCGCGTCTTGTGCCCATTTCGCTATGCTCTCCGTATGTTTGCTCTCATCGGCAGACAGTTCGCAATCATATTTCGGCACTTCAGCAGTAACACCAATTGTGCCGTAGTTACCCTTAACACCCGACAAATAAGCTGTTGCTGTGCTTGCGGAGTCCGGCACGCCTTTATCGATGGCATAAGTCTTCGAAAGTCCAGTGTAGGGAAATTCTTGGAAGAAAATTTTCTCCGAAACATCACCGAGCATAGCACGTGTCGAGGTAATTGTATGCACTGACATGCCATCGCCGAGAAAGAGTATAATATTTTTAGCGCGATTCGTATTGAGGCGTGAACTCTCCTCGAGTTTATCGGCTAGTATGCTCTGAGCTTTTGTCATCCAATATTCAGTGGTTTGCTCAGCGGAGTTGGTTTTTGTGGATTTCACGCTACGTGGTAGTAGAAATCTCGAGTGAACTGAAAAAGGCAAATTCTTTCGTAAGATTAAAAACTCTACACAGCATAAAAATGTGCTAAGATGACAACATTTTGAATGTTTGCTGTTTCAATTGTTCTGTAATGCTCAGGAGAGGAATTTTTTGCAAAGACATAAACTCTCCACTTATTGGAGAATTTCGAAATTTCTACAAAAACTCGAAACTTATGCATTATTGAACTCCACCCAAGAAAATAGTTGCCAGTCATGCTCAGGCGTGCAAATTTGTAATTATACCCGGTAGATTTTGTTCTTAAATCTTTTTTTAAATTATAGCAGGCAATTATAGTATCAAATTTACCGCATTCCTTACAATTTTTTGATTTATTTTTATTAGCAATACCAATTTATCAGTCGTTTTATATTTAACACTTGTGCATACCTACATATATAATCTTGTGCGTGCCCCTATCAGACCGCTTTATTACTCTTAGGCGCTTTTATTTATTATGACCAATTGGTTTACAATCTTTCTCTAACAAAAATTAAGAAAAAAAGATCGTATCACGTCTAAGTCACCTGCTACTGCATATGCAGCTCACACCCTTTTTCGTCGCCTCGTCGCTAACCTTGTGCTGTATCACGTTTACCAAACGTTTCTTTGTTTTATTTTTGACCATTTCGTTTAAGATTAGTTGGCCGAGATAAGCAGGGTAATCACATCACAGAATAAATTAGCAGGGTAAGTAATGATTAAAGTAAATAAATATTTATTTATTGTTATTCTTTGTTTATGATTATGATTGCGGTGATTTACAGTTAAATATTTGATTAATTTGTTGTTCCGTTTGGTAGCTAGATGTTTTGAAGGTTGTGGAAGACTGCGCTGAATTAGTTTTACTTGAACTTACGAGTAACTTTAAATTTTATTGCTTGTTATTCCAGAGTTAGGCAAATCTGAAAGTTTACAAATCCAACGAAGCGAAGAAAAATCTCGCGCACGAGATAATTTGGGATTTATTTATTATTTATTCTCCAAAAATTAGTAGGAACTCAGATTATGGAAGAGAAAAAAATATCTCCAATCTTTGTAGACTTTCAAAATTCAAAATCCCTTAAAATTCGCAGTGTTATGTATCAGTTTTTAGTCCGAAAATATTTGAAACTAAAATTTTATAAGAAAATAAAAACTCTACACTCATCGGAAACTTTCCAACCATGTATTATTTTCACCAGCTGTTCACACAGTTAAACTTGTATATACAAAAAAAAAAAAAATAAAAACTCTATATTTGTTGAGGACTTTAAACTATTGTGTACACAAAATGTATTTTTAACTTAAATAATTAATTGTTTACCTATGCAAATTCACATTATTTCGTTTTTATTGAGTTTCACTTTTAGGCCTTGTGCAAGTGCAACTCGCTAAAAAGGTATTTGAATTTTAAAATATTTTTGTAGAAGCACAATCGAAGAGTGTTCTCATTTCAAATCAATTTAAGTTATTGGAGATTTCTAAAATCATTTAAAAAATCTCTTAATACGGTTTTTTAAATAATTATTGTTTACAAATGTTAACAATTGTGTGTGGAGTACATAAAAGTTAAAACAAAATTTAATTCTCCGCTTTTTGGAGACTTTTCGAATAGTAACATTTCCGGAAATATACGCTGTTTTGCGTTTTATCGATTTGGACGCTTACGCAATGCGTACATTTCTGTAAATCAAAAACTCTACACTCTCTTCAAAAATCTTTTAATAATGCCTTTCAGGTAATTGTTGTTCTTAAATTTTCCAATATATGTTAAGCACAAATTCAGTGGTAAAATAAAAAATCTCCACTTTTTGGAGACTTTTCAAAATTGTCATATTTCTTTAAATACGGCCTATTGTACACTTTTTCAACTCACTCCAACTTGCAGTAAACATACTAAGCTTACGTAACTTGCGAATATACTTTCATACTATGTTATAAACATCAACTATAGCACTTACTGAAATCAGTGCATTTGCACAACACAACGAATAACATAATAAGAACTCGTCCTAAAACTTGTATTAACCAGCTACGCTCTACTTTCATAAGCTCATTCTAAATAAACATAAATATTTAACTTACAAAAGCAAATACACGCTCATTTTAAATTCATTGACTTTTCTGGTTTAGAAGATTGATTTGCGAAAAAAAAGGCGAGAGTTTGCCCAAAAACACTGCAGACCTTTTACTTTCATGAGCTCCGAAACTCTTTTTTTTTATTTATTTTTATTATTTTCGTTGACGTGCAATAATTTCAGCGCACATTTTTTCTACTATTTATACTGGCTCATCATACTTACATTCATCAGCGTATGCAAAGCACATGAAATAGGCCAAAAGACCCAAATGAAACCAGCGTATGCACATTATTTGAAAATGTGGAGAGAACAGAAAACTCAATGGAGAATTTATCGAACCGGGCGTATTGAATCCAAGCGAAGCGAACGTCACACGCTACCGAATGCTACTGTTGAGTTTTTTGCAGTGTGACGCAGATTTTATTCAAAATCAAAGTGCGTCTAAACAAAAACAAAGAAGCTCGGGAAGAGAATGAAAAAACAATTTCAAAATGTCTACAAAATATATTGAAGAATAATAAAAACAAATTCGTTGATAAGTATCAATAGCAATTAATGCAATGGTTAATGGGTCTTAAAGGCAGCGAGCAGCGAGCATGAGCTACAGGCGGCAAGAAAAGTCATGAGAAGAAAACAAAGAAATAAGTGCGCGCAGTAAAAGTGAAAGAAAGTCTTAATACTGAAAATTTATAAGGAAATCAACAGAAAACACGAAAAGGAAATCGAGTCTGGAGTTCAAGAAGAGCAGCGTCAGCCTTTACCAACCATATACCCTAAACTCGTCGCTGGCTACCCAACTGTAGCGTGTCGGGCGAGTGTCACTAACCGACGAACGTACGTGACTCACGTGCAAGTTCTACCAGTTTCGTGTGCATTAGTAATCTAATCAAGTCTGCTTGTTCGGCCACAGTGTGCTGTTATCCCCGGCGCTGACGTGCGGAGACAGCTAAACTCACTGTGTGTTCGTAGCACTCACGAGCGCAGCAGCTATAAAAGGTACAGGTCTACGCTCTCCACAACAGTCTTCAATGAAATGTCGTCTCCGACAGCGTATTTACGAAGAAAGCTCATAGCGTTACTGCTACTAGGCGTTTTAACGATCGTCGCGTATGCTGAACCCGAACCCGCTTTGGATTGTGGCAATGCGGATTGTTCGGAATCGGATATGCATCCAGACTTCTTCAGCCATACTTCACCGCATAGTCGCAGCAACGATCCCGAGGCTACAAGTGACTATTGGTTACAGAAGGGCAAGGATTTTGTACGCAAGCAAGCGTCGTTGCGTCTCAACAAGCGAGTGGCTAAGAATGTGATATTATTTTTGGGTGATGGTATGGGTTTGACCACCTTTACGGCAGCACGCGATCTACTCGGCGGCACTCAAGCACAACTGGCATTTGAGAAATTCCCCTACACTGGTTTCTCGATGACATACTCGGTGAATACAATGGTACCCGATTCGGCTTGCACATCGACCGCTTATCTGTGCGGTATTAAAGCTAATCACGGCACGATCGGTGTTAATGCTCAAATAGAGCGTAGCGATTGTGCTGGCATGAATGATACAACGAATCATGTGCATTCGATAGCAAAATGGGCTTTGGATGCGGGCAAATCCGCCGGTCTGGTGACTACAACGCGTGTCACACACGCCTCACCGGCCGGCGTGTATGCGCATGTCGCCGATCGTGAATGGGAAGACGATGCAGCGTTGGCGGAGGATTGTGGTGCAGACTCGGGTCTGCCGGATATTGCGCGACAGCTAATACACGGTGAGGTTGGCAAGCAGCTGAAGGTCATATTAGGCGGTGGCAAGCGTGAATTTATAGATAGTGAATTTTATAAGAAAGGGCGTCGTCAAGATGGTCGCAACTTGATTGAAGAGTACCTGCAACAGTCTTCGGCTAATGCCTATGTCGAGACACGTGAGGAGTTACAGAGTGTGGATTTGAACTCTTATGATCGTTTGTTGGGCATCTTTGGTAAATCACATTTGGATTATCACATTGATAGTGAGGAAACTCAACCGACCTTGAAGGAAATGACTGTGCGCGCGATCGAGATGCTACAAATGAACAATAGTAAGGGTTACTTCCTATTCGTTGAAGGCGGTCGCATCGATACGGCACATCATGATAATATGGCCGAGTATGCGCTAGACGAGACTGTTGAGTTTTCGAAAGCGATACAAGCGGCACGTGACATGACCTCAGAGGAGGATACGCTAATTGTTGTAACGGCAGACCACTCGCACTCCTTCACTATTTCGGGCTATCAGGTGGGACAACTGAAAAACTATAAGAAAAAAAAACAAATTAAATTTGCAAAACAACAAAAAATTAACTGGAAAAATATATTCATCTTTCTTTCACAGGATCGTGATCGTGAGTTAACCGAAATTGCACCCGCTGAAGCTACCGACGATCAATCCTACCTAATACTCAGCTATGCAAATGGTCCTGGATTCGAAGACTATTACAATACCGAGAAAAATAAGCGCCGCAATCCAGAGAAAACACGCAAGAAGGTAAGCACTTTTCCCGCCACAGCGCCTTTGGACAGCGCCACACACGGAGGTGAAGATGTTGCCGTTTTTGCCTCAGGTCCCTGGGCTCATCTCTTCACAGGTGTTTACGATCAAAATACGATACCTCACATAATGGCGTATGCGTCGTGTGTAGGTGAGGGTTTGAAGGCGTGCTGATAGTAACAAGAAATAAGTGAATAAAGTGATTTCAAATGGTTGTGAAAGAAAAACGAGAGATTAAATTTTAAGAAAAACCAAAGTAAATAAAGAAAAAAAGGGAACGTAGACTTTAATAGCACATTGAAAAGAGAATGTGATTGGTATTTTTATGTGCGAATTGTTTTGAAACTAATCAACGACCCAGTTGAAAGGCAACCAAATTTAATATAAAAGGAGGGATGAGAGACGAAATTTAGTTCTTCTTCGCCAAGAGTAGAATTTACTTCTCAGTTGTTTACTCTGTCCTTAGGAGCACCAGTTGGAATTCTGCGTAGGATTTCAAGGCTGACTAGTTCCAAGATAGACGAAATTTTCTGCGAATTTAATACCAGAAATATTCCGTCTTGCCTCAGTCAGTCTGGAAACTTTCACTATATTCACTCCCCATGAGGCTTGTATTACTTTCTCCATCACTAAGTTAAATAAATCACACGATAAAGAGTCACCTTTCGTGAAACTTCGCTTAGTATAACACGTCTAGGTCAATGGTAGATTTGCCAGAGGCCTGAGGCCGCTGACAAGTTCCAAACAGTTCGTTGACGGCGTTTACGACAGTTGTTTCCTTTTTCTTTTGTGCTTTACCATCCGATTGACAGCGCTACATTTTCGTTTCATCGTACCATATTTCTCGTTTCCGAATCCCCAGTGGACTGAATTATATGTTCTTGGCTTTCGCATTCCGCTCTGGTAAAGTGGGTTTCTTTTTACCTATTTATTTCTTTGAAAGCCCATTTTTAAAAGGAAAGTCGAGGTGTTTTATTGAGAAGTTTGCATCTAAAAAAGTACCTTTTCTGGAGTAGCCTCGTAACGTTTCGCACTCTGAAAATATGTTAGTTTTCTATTTACTGCTTTTTGCTGACTTAGATGAACTTTTTTGATTTTGTTTTTCCTATCAAAAAGACCAGTTTTCAATGGCAAAATCTTCGAAGCTACAGGAAAATCGTCCCATTGTCTTCCCAAATGAGACACACACAAATTGTCTTTACTGTTACTATAACGACTCTTTCCATGTTTCTTTTTACAATATTTTAGTATATAAATGTGGTTTTCTCCTGAACGAATGACGGGCCAAACCCCATCATAAAACTCCTGATCGTAGATACCTTTGAGGTTAGTTTTTGTATATGACACAAGCAGCCGATTGAAAGGATTTTTCGGGAGATGGAATTAGGACAGATCTATTCGATATATTTTCATTCATCATTTGATTTAAGTGAAATTTGGTCTAAATTAATATCGGGAATATTTTTTCTTCTAGGAAGTGGGCCTAAAATCGATATCATGGCTCGGCTTTGTTAATTATATGGTACATTTGTAGATGAGTCTTTGTCAAAGTAAGTATGTTGCGGTCATTTCCTTCTTGAGCTATTTCCAGGAATATGGGATATCGGCAATGGTCAATATGTAGAGAATTTTTTTCCGCTACCAAAATATCTGATAGATAGAGTTCGTTTTGCTTGAACATTGAAACATAGAAAGCTGTTTTAATAACGAAGAAACCTTTTATCTTATTAGAACCATATAAAATAAAATTAACGAAATTAAAATACAGAAATAAAATAAATAAAAGAGTAAAAGAGAATAAATTTAAATAAAAAGAACTAAAGTAAAAATAATATCGGATTCAAAATAATTTTCGCAATCAGTTGCCAAATTGCACGGTAAGGCATATGTGCATAAAGCATACTACATCCGCATAAAATCATAACTTTATTAATTTCATATTATCCCATCAAATATACATCGATAAAAAGCCAATTCTGACCACACTATGAGTTATGCTCATAACTGATGGTGCCGAATGTTAAAAATGTGAATCGGAAAATGTATAATTAATAGAATTTTCCACTGTGACGCTCTACGCATAAATCCATAAATTAACTTAATGTATAGCCATTTACATACAAACATATATATGTATGTTTATATGTGTATGTCTTTTCTTTTTTTTTCATTATAATAAATTTTTTTTTATCGTTATGCTTCGAGCTTTGCTTGTCTTTCCATTCTTTCTTTTACTACTTGTTGCCACAACAGCGCTTTTGAATGCAATGACAGCAGCTGCTGTCAACCGATGGCCAAACCGCCAAACAGACAAACTGACAGATCGTCTAGTCAGCAGAAGGCATAGCATTGATTGCGTTTTCCATACTTACATGTTACATACTGTCAATTTATCAGGCATACCAAATGAAAGCGCATATTAACTAGGTGCATACTTGTATATATATTTGCATGTATGTATATGCTCTTCATGTATGCAACACCATCCACCATAACATTCATTTACAATTTGCGCGTTGCATGTGAGACCAAAGCGTGTTGTCCTTTCGACCTACACACACAACCACATCCACTTTACAAAACACCATCCAACCGCCCACTATACTTGCACAACATTTTAATTAACCATTATCACAGCTGTCGCAGCGTTAGTGATGTGAGTGTTAAATTTGCATAATACTACAGTTGGTAGGTGGATATATGTATGTACATATATATGTATGTGTAAAAATGTAGGGGAGCTGAAAAGAGTGCGCTATAACATACATGCACTCATATAAGTGAAGAGGCGAAGTTATGAAGTGATAGGTGACATTTACATATGCATATGTATTCCCTTTTGTTATTTTCAAACAAACACTTCATGTGTGGAAAGCTTAATAAATATTATTTCATTAAACCAGCGAACAAAATAGGATATAAAATGCAGCATAGTTTAGAAAAGCGCTTATATTATTACTTCAACCAATCGCCAGTCGAAGAACTAAAGTCTGCACATCTCTAGAATACTTTTCGAAATTTTTTTTTAGGTTGTTGTGTAATAAAGTGTGTAAAATATCCGAAGGACGGTAAAAACAAAAAGTCTCCAATTTTGGAGAGTTTTCATTTATGACTAAAACTTGTTTAGTTGTTCATAATTAATACCTTAAATTAAATGTTATATAAATTAGGTATATATTAGAAGTCTCCACACGTGGGAGAGTTAAAATTTTACACTAAAACAAAGAAATGCGCTTTGTTTAATATTATTTTAAAGAAAGTGTAGTTTACAGATTGTTCATAAATCTCATTCACTGGGTTGCTTTTCAGAATTTATTATATTTACAGTATTTTATTTTGTCCATTTGTTGCATATATGCATTTACAAGCACTTTGCATACTACGATGCATGTATGCCCAATATATAAATATGTACGTACATCGTCTACACACACACACACTTGACATTCGAAAATGTCGAATGCACTGACAGTTAAATGTTGACAATTATGACAGCCAGCCAGCCAGCCAGCATCACGGTCGACAATTGCCTGCCACCAAGCACCCTCGACCACTGCAAATAGCAATTGTTTTTGCTATTTTTTTTATTATCATTATTTCATATGCATATTACTATGACGTTGCATTGCAGTTGGATGTAGTTGTAATTGCAGTTACCGTTGCATTTATTGGCAGTATTGTCATTTATTCTTGTGTTATTTGCGTGGGTGTCGTTTGCGTTGAAATTAACGCCATTTTAATTGAATTTTAATATTTTACACATGAACGAAATACAGTGCTGTTGTGTGTGTGTATGTGCGATGGTTCATATACAGATTTATGCATTGTTTGGTCGACAGTCGGAAGTTGGATCTCACATATGTACATACATACATACATATGTATATTGATTGTTGCTTTGGTGGCTTATAAAAGACAAGTGGCAACATTTAATAAGCGTGCAGTTGACAGATACGCTGTTGAGCTGACAGCAAATGTCGGAACTACAAGCGAGTGTTTCAGTTTGGGTGGAAATATATAAAATCGTTGCTTATATTAAAGCGGAAATTTGATGTGGCCGCAGCATAAAATTGAATTATCATTAAATCATAAGAAAGAATGCAATAAAGGCGAATTTTCATTTGCGTGTAAACTGTCATATTTGTTGTGCGGCGAAATTATATTTGCATTAAGAGATTAAGCATCTGTACATTGAAGTATACATACCAACGTATATGGAGGAGAAATTTATATGTACAATCAACAAAATATTAAAATTAAAAAAAAAATTGTGGCATAAAGCCCACTTTAAGAAACTAATTTTCCAAAAATCTCCACTTTTGGAGAGAATTTCCGAAAGAGAATTTCATGCGCTCCTGAAGCTAAGCTACAAATCTTAAAGAAATAAGTCACAATTAAAGAAGTCTATACTTTTGTAAACTTTATTTAGTATAAAACTATAGAAAACAACAAATTTTTATTAATTTTATAAAAAATTTTGTATATTTCGTGAAAAATGTTCTTCTTGCTTGATGTATAATATAAATTATGAGCTATTTTTTACAAAAATTGCCAAAAAATTATAATTGCTTTTACGTAATTCATTATTTTTGCAAAAATAGAAAAAATGCAAAGTCTCCACATTTGGAGAGCCAGAATTTTTACTTGAAATTAATTTTGCGATAAATTTCTCAATTAATTAGTACAACAAATAGCAGAAATGTGGACTCCAAGCTTTGGAGAGTTTCAATATTTTTCAAAAATGGACGGATAGCGCAAGCGTAAATTTTTGCGAAAGGAAAATTATAATGACGGGCAAGTTTGCATGGCCTAGTGCTGCATTAAGTAATTATTTCCTTCTCATATGCTTAGAAAACAAAAATGTGAGTCTCCACACTTGGAGGACAATCAATTTTCGCTCAAACCTAACCGTACAATAAATTTCGCAGATAATTAAAGAAAATTTTGCAAAACCTTGGCTTTTATTTTCGAGAATTTTTATTTATCTTAAGTTCTGAAAAACCTTAATTTAGTAAAGTCATCTACTGAGATTTAACATTTTTTTCTTTTTCATATAACTGCATAAAAAAAATGTGAAAGTCTCCACTTTTGGATAGCATCAATTTTTTTTTAAATTTGCTTCACCATACATTTCTAAGATGATTTCCGAAAGAAATAGTAAGATTATGATTTATGAAAACTCTACAAAATTTTGGAGAACGTCATTTTTTTCCAAAAACGTGTCGGATATCACATGCCTGAATTTAGTTAAAGGCTAAATACGCATGA